ATTTTTTCTAAGGGATGCCAGCACAATTAAATAGTACATAAATTTAAATTGTCCTTGTTAATTTTGTTTGCCATCACTGTCTCTAAACCTCAGCATCCATTTATTTATACACATGTGTACATACATGCACACATGTATGCCAAATGATTCTTCTTTTCTCTCCATGATCTTAGAGTATCTGGAAGTGTTACATTAGTCAGGTTCTTCCAGAACTTCTCTGGAACTATTTTGAAACTCAACAGACACCCTGAAACTAATTAACCCAAGGATCCCCAGATCTCCAGGGTCATCATGCAACCACCTGTACCTTTGTTATTTCAGACTGGTGCCTTGAACTTCTAGAAATCCCCAACCAAGTTTCTTGGGATTTTAAGGTGGGTGTAGGATGGACAAAGGCCAGCCTATGTCCTTCGGAGTATATTTCAGGGCCCTCCCTGTGTAGCAGGCGCTCTGAATACATTTTCTCATTTAATCCTTGTAACAACCCTGAGAGGTAAGCCTTTCCCCATCTTTTTACCCATGAGGAAACTCAGCCTTAGGGAAGTTGCGCTAGTTTGGTTAGAGACGAAATTTCACATTTAACGCATGAATATGCCTAATTGGCTGGGCCTTTACACAGAGACTCTAGGACTCATAAATCATCAGTAAAGCAATAACAACCTTTAGAACTGGGTTCAATGGAAAAGAAAGAGAAGGTCGTACAATTGAAGGGGGAAGAAAGGGCTTCAGGTGCATCAGATGCTTGGCATGCTGAAGTGGGGGGGGAGGGGTGTGTATGCCCTTTTCCAGTAACCTGTAGCTTCCCTGAGAAGTTGGATCTTGCCTCATCTGGTGAGGGGCGTCTCGGTGTTGTAACAGCAGTGACAGCAAGATGTCCTGTTGCCTCAGGCTGTCACCAAGAGGCCGGTGGGTCGTCTTTATCTCTGGGACCAATTTGTTGGAGTCCAGACTTTTCCGGAGAATTGCCAGGCACTCAGGGACTGGGCTACTTTGTACCAATAACTCCCCCCTCAAATCCTTTACAAATATGTCTTTTTAAAAACCAGTCCTGTGCTTACATGTCAAGTGTGTATTTGCACTTCCATTCAAATTCTGCATTATAATCTAGATGCAACATCATGCTTTGTATTTATATTTTAGGCCCAAGGGCTTTGACTAAATCAGGAGAAAAACTGACATGCAAAGAAAGCAATTATTGTAGCCTTTGGGAGGTTCAAGTCTCTCAAAAAGAATTGTCGTGGAGACCCCTGGCAATAGAAAAATGAAGTATGTTACTCCCCAGAGTCAGGACACAAACTGACCACCTTGTGTAGGATTTGCCCCTTCTCAGTGTACCACCACTGACCCTGTACTAGAAGAATCATCTAGAGAGGCGTTGGTCTGTGTTACAGCATTGTGGGAAAGAATAGCAGAAATAGGTTGTGGAGACACTCAATTGAATTGAATGGACCATTACCTGTGTCTTATCTATCTCTTTGGTAAGCATGATAGCTAGCAAGCTACCCCTTTTGTTCAATTATACTGTTACGTGATTGCGGTTAGTTTATATTGTCTTTATTTCATTAGTCTGTTCTTAGCCCCATAGGATAAACATATTCCATTGACCTGCATGATAGTTGAAGGCACGGCATGAATGTTCTATTTAAGGCTGCAGTAAGGGAAAGAATTAGGGTAGACCTCATTGTTGAAGGGGTTTTGCAGTTCCTACTTTCTTAGAACATTCTTCTTCCTCAGCTCCTGTTGACTTTTCTTTAGAACGGAGTAAATCACTACACTCAAAATTCGTGTTATGCACTAAAAAGTCTGCTGGTCTTTTCACCAAATATCACCATTAAAGTGTAAATGCAGCACCCTAGAGCGGTTTCACATTCTGACTGACAGCCCCTCACTGGCCCGAAGCCCTCTGTACGCATTACTGTGTCACACATTGTGGTTACCCGCTCCCCCTAAGTCTGTCAAGAGCATGAGTCAACAGTTGCTGAAAGCTTCCCACTAGCTTTGCTGAGGGGCAAATAAAAGGATTAGATAATGATTTTGGTTTTGAGGCTGTTTTTTTTTTGTTTTTTTTTTTTTTTTGCTTTTGTGCTGAGAAAAGACCTATTCTTCAGGAATTCTAAGTGTTTTACAAATTCGGCTTTTGCATCCTCATGGGTCTAGCATTTTACGTTATGATTTTATACCTTCTTTAGAGCCGGAGTTGAGGAAGAAGAGGGCGAGATGTTTGACACTGAGACTCGCATTCAGTCTTTCTGTCCCTCTGGGCTGAAATCCAGTGTGTGCGTGCAGGGGGAGGGGGTGTGTGTAGAAGAGAGCTAGGCTGTCAGTGCAGCAGAAGCTGGAGGGGCAGAAGGTGGGGTCCTGCTAATGGGAGTTGACCTCTCTACCCATCTCACCTCCCCGCACATGTGGCAAACTCCTGCATTAAATACCCTGGCGCTCCGAAATGATCCAGGGATCTCCAGAAGGCTCCTCCTTGACTGGAGCCCTTGAAGTGTGCACATACCTATGGAAGAAGTAATTTTGAACTAAATGTCTGTTCTTATCTGGAGCTGGAGAGAAGGTAGGATCTGGTTCTAGTGGACTCCACATCTTCAGAGGTTTGTCAGGATAGTCAATGCTGTTTTCCAAATGAGACGGATGATGAGTGCCCTAGATGTGCAGGACCCAGGCTGGCCTTAGGAGCTGCCAGGTCTGAAATATATGGAGAAAAGACAAGGCCAGGAGAAAAATGAGGACTGTGATTATTGATACAAGTCTGGAGGGCTGGGCCCTCTCTGAGGTTCTCATAAATGCAAGGATCACACAACAGGTAAGAGACTTGGGACTCGTACATGAGGTGGGCTCTTTGGATTTTGCAATTCTCCTGCCACCCTTAAAGGACAGAGAGTGACATCAAGTTTAGAATGTGTTCTTCTGGATCCTTAAAGGGTCCTGAGGAATGTCTTCATGCTGTCTGTTGTTAACTCAGTTCTAGACAAAGTCCGGGTTAGAATTCTTTTTTTTTCTTCTTCTTTTTTTCTTTTTTTAAGGATTTAAAGATTTCTCTCTGAGAGAGAGAGAGAGAGAACGAGCAGTGGGGAGGGACAGAGGGAGAGAGAGAGAGGCAGACTCCCCACTGAGCAGAGAGCCCAACATGGGACTCAATCCCAGGACCTGGAGACCATGACCTGAGCCGAGGGCAGACGCCCAACCGACTAAGCCACCTAGGCAACCCCAGGCTAGAATTCTTAAAGGTCTCAGCTTTGAATCCTCAAAACAGAACTAGGACTCTGAGTACTCTGGATTATTAGGACACCTGCAATTCAGGCCTATGAAACTAGGTTCTGCCTGTCAGCCTACCTGTACAGGGCGAGCAAGGGACTTCTGGAACTTTTGTAAGAACCAGTATTTGTTCAGGATTAAGAATTTCTTGTTCTTATCCCATAGTTATTACCACTTTTTTTTTAAGATTTATTTATTTATTTTAGAGAGACAGAGAGAGACATGAGCGGGAGGGGCAGAGGGAGAGGGAGAGAGAATCTCAAGCAGACTCTGCACTGAGCACAGAGCCCATCGCGGGGCTTGATCTCACGACCTTGAGACCACAACTTGAGCTGAAATCAAGAGTCGGATGCTTCACCGACTGTGCAACCCAGGCACCCCACTGTTACCACTTTTAATGACAATGTGTAGCACTACAAATATACCACTTGCATTTTGGATGGGCAGGGCTAGTATTAGAAGCTTTGGTTTCAGGGAACAAAAAGTAAGCTCTGAAGAGCCCCCAAGCAGAAGTGAGAAATAGATTACTTTCTCTTGGCCCACCCACCTCTTTTGTCAATATCCATCTGCTCTCTTATGATTCGTTACTAATTTTCATCTTCCCTACCATTTATTGGGCATTATTGTATGCCGGGTAGTAGGCTGTTTGTATTCAGTTCTGTGAGTTCTGTTGTTTGCTTATTTCACTTGTGAGGAAAACGACACTGAGGCGTATGGGGTGAAGTTAGCCACCCGCGGTCACAGAGCCAGGGTAAGACAGAGCTGGGACTCACGCCAGGTGGGGGCCATGTGAAATGCATGGGCTTAGCCTTTTGCATCCCTGCTATGGCAGCCCTTTGAAGGCAGAAGTAAGCTGATGCTTACCGGTCAGCCAAGATGTTAAGTGATTATTAAGGTTTTTATGTGACAGGTAGCTAAAACTGACTTTAAGCACTTAGCCTTTACCTCTGCAGATATTTATATTTTAAATAAGTCCCAAAGACATTTTTGCCTTTACTCCATAGAAAGTCCGTAGAGATGGGACAATGGACTAGGTTTATCCTTAAGGCAGGGCTACCAAAGATTCCTCACCTCATTGCAGGTTAGTGGCTCTCTGCTGATAGGCTAGACATTCCACAGCACAGCTCTGGGCACGTAACAGGTATTTGATTATTAGCTGATTAAAACCCACTTCATATTCTCATTGTGTATCAGAAGAGCACAAGGAAAGCTACTTTGCTTAACTTTAGTTTCTCCTATTGGCAAAGGATCAGCTTTATCCACCAACTCCCTACATGTATCTATAAATTTGAAAAGCCCACTGTTCTTAGTCAGGTTTTCATTATTTTTTTTAGAGATTTCTTTATTTGAAAGCGAGAGAGCAAGAGACAGCATGTGCATGAATGGGGGGAGGGGCGGAGGGAGAGAGAGAATCCCAAGCAGACTCCCTGCTGAACATGGAGCCCGACAGCACTTGATCCCAGGACCCTGAGATCACAATCTGAGCTGAACTCAAGAGTTGGTCACTCAACCGATTGAGCCACCCAGGCGCCCCAGGTTTTCATTTTAGAGTTTTATATAATACTTGTATTTCTACTTTAAGAAAAATGAGAAGATACCCTCTAGTTCATGGAAAATTATGTATGGCTTTGTGTTGTCAGCGTTTGGAATTAACCAGATATGAAATTGAGTTTGTCATTTTGTTTTTCACCGGAATGCCTTTATGTTTTTGTCTTGTTTGTCCTTGATTACAATTTTAGTGCAAACATACTCTTGGATGATCAGTTCCACCCCAAACTAACTGATTTTGGCATGGCACACTTCCGGCCCCACCTGGAACATCAGAGCTCTACCATAAGTATGACCAGCAGCAGCAGTAAACATGTGTGGTATCTGCCCGAAGAGTACATCAGACAGGGCAAACTTTCCATTAAAACGGACGTCTATAGCTTTGGAATTGTGAGTACCAAGTACCAGTCAACAAAGGAGGAAAGCTTACCACCAGGAATGCTCTAAAGTCTAAGAATTTTTTTTAAGGGCTTTCACTTTGAGACCTATTGATTTCCTGTTACTCATTGTCTTACACACTAATTTTATGTAATCAGTCGAATAGTAAAATATAGTCATTAATTAAAATGAACGTTACCTATTGTCAAGGTTAATCGCTGCAACTAATTGTATGTATATACTTAACATATGTAGCTGACTTTCTATATATTCCCTATAGGTAATAATGGAAGTTCTGACAGGTTGTAAAGTGGTGTTAGATGATCCGAAGCATATCCAGCTGGTGAGAATTGTCTTCATCTCTGTTCCTGTCTCTCGGTCATTTCTGGGGTAGAGTTCTGAAAGATAAAGTTGTCTTCTTCTCTTCCTAGAGGGATCTCCTTATGGAATTGATGGAGAAGAGAGGCCTCGATTCATGTCTTTCATTTCTAGATAAGAAAGTGCATCCCTGTCCTCGGAACTTCTCTGCCAAGCTCTTCTCGTTGGCAGGCCAGTGTGCTACCACGCGGGCAAAGTTAAGACCGTCAATGGATGAAGTGCGTACACATGGTTTTATTCAAAACCAAGCCCACAGAACCATGGAAAATCTAAATTGGATAAATTGTGTCTAAGTGAATTCTTTATCAATGGGGCAAATCCAGCCCCTAACACAGAATTCTAACCTCATAGCTTTTCCAAGTCACAAGTCCCATTATATGGTACTCTGGTGGAGAGGTCATTGTTGGATGGGACTTAAATGAGTAATTTTAATGAAAAGACTTAAGTGAGTAGTTTGGAGAGAATTTATTCAACACTCATTTAGAGATCTGGTCTATTAAAAAATGCATTACATATTTCCTCTATTGATTTTTTTAAATTTACTCATCAATTTAATCATCCATGCATTGATTTGCTTATTTGTTCAACAGATACTTAGCTAGTGCTTACTTTGCATGTGCCAGACTTGGTCCTGGGTGCTGAGGGTACACCCGTAGTCAAGATATAGTTGCTGCCCTCAAACTCACAGTCCAAAGTGAGAGTCAGATTAGTTAACATGGCATTTCAGTACGGAGAGATAAGTGTAATGATAGGTGGAAGCCCAGGTCAAATGGGAACACATACCAGCCAAGTCAAGGAAGCTTCTCGATGGAGGTGATGGCTGAGCTATAGTCTAAAGAACAGGGTGAATTTAGGCAGCAGTAAGGATAGAAGGACATTTTAGTTGGAGAGAATCTATACCTGCAAACCTCAGAGGTGATGGATTTTATGACACTAATACAGCAGGCAGTTCGTGGAAGTGGAATATGGTGAGGGAAAAGCTGTAGTGCTTAAAATAATAGAAGGTTCCAGGTGATAGAGGGACATGAATTCCATTCTGGGATTTGGGGTTTTATCCTGAGTCTACTGTAGAGCCATGAAAGGGTTTTAAACAAGAGGTCAACATAATCAGAATGTAAGGAGCCCTGGCCTGGGAGTCAGGAGAGCTATATTTTAGGCGTGGCACCACCAGTAAGAGCTTGGTGACCTGGAATCTTGGGCCCAAAAAGAGCTATGAGATACACAGTGGAAGAAACATGGAATTGGGAGCCAGATCTGAGGTCAAGCAACACATCTGCTCCTTACTGGCTAGTGATATTTATTCCCTTTATCTGAGCCTCAGCTTTATTATCTGTAAAATGGGAATAATGGTGTTGTTTGTGCAGATTAAATGAGATAATGTGTGTGAAAGCACTTTGTAAATAGTAAAGCTCTCTAAATGTAGTTTTAAAAATTACATGTGTGTGCGAAGGGATGTTACATGTTCTTTTACATCTGGTCAACAGTTCTCACTTTGGGCTGCACATCCAAATCAAGTGACAAGCTTTTAAAATATAGATTCCTGGGCCCCTATCTTCATATTTTGTCGGTGACGATCTTTAGGTTGGGGCCAAAGGATCTGTATTTTAAGAAGGCTCCTGTAGGTACTTCTGACATTTGAGAACTACAGATTGGGTCCCCTGTACCCTGACCCTTTCCAGTACTCCGCATATTAAGGTTGAAGTAAAAAATGTATGGAGACTCAGCCCAGGACACACAGTAGTTGGTGGCAAATCTAAGCTTCAACTCAGGTCTCTTGATATTTACTTCAGTGCAGTTTCTTTTATACTTGGCTTTAAGTCTTTTAATTTACTCATGAAACTGAAAGGGTTTAGCTAATCTTTAATAATACCTTCCCATTCAGAACTCTATAGTTGAACTTATTTCATGAAAATAAGAGAATACTCCTTAATAGGTAGATAGAAAGAAGGTGAAAGGAGAGGTTATGGAAGCTTAATGCAAATGTTTCTTTGCTTCTTGGTTAACTAGGTCCTAACCACTCTTGAAAGTACTCAAGCCAGGTTATATTTTGCTGAGGATCCTCCCACGTCTCTAAAGTCCTTCAGGTGTCCTTCTCCTCTGTTCTTGGAGAACGTACCAAGTATTCCAGTGGAAGATGATGAAAACCAGAATAATTGTTCACCACCTAATGATAAAGGTTTGAGAAAAGATGGAGTGACTCAGAAAGTTCCATTTGAATGTAGCCAGTCTGAGGTTACGTTTCTGGGCTTTGACAGAAAGACAGGCAGTGAGAGAAATGAGGATGCCTGCAACAGGCCCAGTTCTTCTTGTCAAGAAAGTTGGCCTCCAAAGCATTCAGCTCTATCCCAGGACCCAAGCGCCTGTGGTACATTTATGGACCCTTCTGCAGAAGCTCCAGGCCATTCTTACAGGAGCAGGCCAGTGGAGACCAGCTGTTCCTGCAATTTCTCCTGGAACAAATGTGAACCGTACAAAAGAGAATCGATCTCACCAGAAGATAAAGAAGAAAGCAAGCATTGCTAAGGCACCTGAGTACATGTACCGTCTTGGGAAAACATTGTGACCATAAGTCATGCTATGAGGACTATCGATGGTGAGTTTGGGGGATGCAGATCAATAATCTGGACAATGCTATCCCTTCCTTCCCAGTTCCTAGGCTTACACCTAGGCTAAATTAGAGCCGTTCAAAATTACTTAAGATCATGAGCTCTGACCTCAGACAAACAAAACCTACCACAAAAGGGACTGGATTCTCCTGTCTTCTTCATCAGCAGCATGAGCCCTCAGAGCCTCCAGTCTGCTAAGTAGGTTCAGTTCAGTTAAATCCCATTGTTCTGTTTAGCTTGCTCTCGAAGGTCGTAAGAACTGTCTAATTTGTAAATGTTAACAGATGCCTTTTTAAGGAATTACCTTTTTGTTTATTTTAATTAACACTTAGTATTTTTTCTGTTCATCCCTGTCAAGCCTGCCTGCCTGAAAATGAGCCAGATTCACTCTTGACTATGACATGTTCTCTGTAGAGAGGTGATTCTTGCCCAAGATCTGGATTTCTGTATTTAAACTGTTAGGATAGTTTATCACATATCATATAGTTGTTAGCTATTATTACAATTTTTTTTACAAACTTAGGAATGAATTTGACACTCATAATCCTGAGTAGAATTTATGAAATTTTAATCAAGTAAATTTTGTTTCTGAGAAAATGGCTGGTCACAAGGACCTATGTCAGCTTTTTGTTTGATCCTATGCCTGCCAACTCTGTGCCTTTACTCCTCCTGTTTACTGGGTCTCCCCCTGTTGAAATCCTACCCGGGCCGTCAAAGCCCAGCAGAACTGCATCTTCCAGGAAGCTTCCCTGAGCCAGAAGTACTCGCCTCATCGGCATTACCATAGCATTGTTTTTGTGTTTCTATTATATACTTGTCCCTTTCTGAATTGTACCAAAGTTGCCTATGCCATCTTCTCTCTCTTACTGGGTTGTAAACTACCTGTATTAATGTCATATTGTTGCTATAATAAATTATGACAAACTTAGTGGGTTAAAACAATATAAGTTGGGGTGCCTGACTGGCTCATTCGGTAGAACATCTGCCTCCTGATCTCAGGGTCGTGAGTTCGAGCCCCACGTTGGGTATAGAGGTTACTTTAAAAATATATATATAAATATATATATATATATATATATATATATACACACACACATATATATATGTGTATGTGTGTTAATTATTTTACAATTCTGGAGGTCAGAAGCCCTTGGCATTCTTTCTGGAGGCTCTAGGGGAGAATTCATTCCCTTGCCTTTTCTAGCTTCTAGAGACTACCTGCATTCTTTGCCTCGTGGCCTCTTCCTCCATCCTCAAATCCAGCAATGTGGCATCTTTGAATCTAGATTTCTCTTTCTTTTTCTCTTTGACCTTTTCTTCATCACCTCTTTCTCTTACTTTGGCCCTCCTGCCTCTAGTAAGGATCCTTGTGATTGCGTTGGGCCCACTCAGATAATCCATGGGAATCTCTGCATCTCAAGACCCTTAACTTAATCACATCTGCAATGTCTCTTTTGTCCTGTAAAGTAATTCACAAGTTTCTGTGATTAGGACATGAATATCTTGCAAAGAGGTGGGGGAGTAGGGGAAAGGGGTGGTGCAGGGTGGGGGACCAGGGGGCGGGGAGGAGACATTACTCTATCAGACTCCGAGTATGTAGGGGCCATCTCTTCAAGTCCTAGCATGTTAGCCTGTACAGAACTGTTGTTTCCTTACAAGTGAAGTTGAATTAAATTATCTCTAAGAACCCACATAATAAAAAATTCAGCTAGTAAACATTGATGAATAAAGTGGGGATAAGGTCTGTCTTTATGATGACAGATGGAAACATTCCAAGAAAACCATTTCCACAGGGTTAATGGAATTTCCCTCTCTAGAACATTTATAATAAAAGGGTAGATCTCTAGTCTTCTGTGCATAAAAGGAATAGGCTCACACACTTTTTTTCTTTCTCTTTCTTTCTTTCTTTCTTTCTTTCTTTCTGAATTAGTAGGGTTGGGTTAATCAGTCAGATTGGAGTCCAGATTTAAGAACAAATGATTAAAGAAGGAAGTCATCAGGAATCAGGGGCAGGTTAACAGACCAAGGTCAGAAACATGAAGCTACAATTCTGGGAAAAAGGGCCTCATGGTGAGGTTGAAACACAACAAGCCTTAGTTTGATTGGCAGGCCACATAAAGGCTCAGGTAAGTAGTTGGGAGAGGTCATGCTCGGGCTGGTCCTCAAGAGCCCTGACTGCCCCTTGCGGTCTTCCCCATATGTTCATGGCATGTGTTGACGATGCTCCCAAATTGCCCATGTGCCAAAACTAGTAGAGGCAAAGGGTTGGACTAGACTTTGTATGATTTCAATTCTTGTGACCTGTCCTAGTTTGGAAACTCTTGATTATACATGTTAATGAAAGGAAGCATAAAAGTCTTTGATGTTTGGCTTTATATATTGTAAGCCATTATGAGGCTGACTTAGCTTATCTTAGAAATATAGTCTGAAAGTATTTTGGCTGAATTGGGGAAATTAGCCTGGGATTGTGTGAAGTTGCCACTAATAACTCAAAAGAGGTAATCAAGACAATCAAGAATTGACTTTATGTTAAACTGTTTTTCACTTTGAATCTGACCTCCCAGTACCTTCAATGAGAGGTCATAAAGGAAAACTGTGATTAACACAAGCCCCCACCATGGCTCAGCACATTTGTAGTCTGTTGGAATTATGTTGATTTGAATGTGCTTATTTGACTTAAAGCAGTGTTTCTCAAATTTTAGTGTGCATCCAAATGATGTGGAAGTCTTGTTAAAAACACAAATTGGTGGACCCCACCCAGTTTCTGATGCAGTGGTTCTGGGGTTAGGAATTTGGCTTTCTGACAAGTTCCCACTGCTGCTCATGCTGCTGCTGTGTAGACCTCTCTTCAAGAACCACTGCTTTAGAGTGTTCTCCAACGGTTATCGATCAGTAGATTCTACCTTGCCATCTGGGTGTATGTTTTTTGAGAGAGTAATCATTTTTAAAAATTCTTTTATATTTACCCTATTACTTACGATTTTGCTTAATTGGAGTAGGAGCTCTAGAAATATCGTGTTACTTATTTATTTATTTATTTGACAGAGAGACACAGCGAGAGAGGGTACACAAGCAGGGGGAGTGGGAGAGGGAGAAGCAGGCTTCCCACTGAGCAGGGAGCCCGATGTGGGGCTCGATCTCAGGACCCTGGGATCATGACCTGAGCCGAAGGCAGACGCTTAACAACTGAGCCACCCAGGTGCCCCTAGAAATATTGTTAATCAATATCTTTTTTGATGAGGTCACTTGCTAGGGTATGACTACTTTGGACATCTTAAAGAGCAAGTCATATTAGCTGGCAATAACCTGAGCAATGATATGGCAAGCAGATGTCACTGTGGCTGGAAATGAGAAGAATCTTCTATTGAGTCCAGTTTTCCTTGATTTGCCTTCTGGTGGGTGTGTTAATAAATGTTAACTGATAGGAATTCAATCTTGTATCCCGCTATGGGCAATAGGAGGACACCTCCATGGCTTCATGAGGTGGAGACTTAGGTACACGAAGAAACCAAGATGAGCCTCCAAGTGTTCCCTTTGATCAGCAAACATGAATTAGTAAAGAATTTCGCTCATTTTCATCCTTATAATGCACTGTGGGCAATCCCCGAGGCCGATCCTCTTGTTAGGTTTTTGTCCCATTTTATAAGGCCCCAAAGCATAGAGAAAATATTTTGTTGTTTTTGAAAATAGGTATGGGATTTCTGGCATTATCACTTTTATTGACTTCTTGAGAATTGTTATAATGATCTGCGACTCACGGCATAATGGTGTAGTTTCTTGGGGTGGTACGAGAGCCTGTGTAAAACAGCTTTTATGACCTGAGGTGTGGTGAGTTTGGGAAGTGAGGATTACCATGAGTAGCATCTACTAAGCATCTGCCAGAATCCAGGCACTGTATTGGCTCCTAGGATACGGAGGAAAGAGGAGAAGGCAACTAGCCCACTCAACAGTTTGGCGACATCTGTTATTTGAACCCCAAACCAATGGAACTGAAAGTAAAAGTGTGAGGAAGTTACTGTGCACTTTCGAGAGGGGAAGGAAGGCTTTTTGGAGAAGTTTGCTGGAGAGAGAGAGGGAGGAAAAGAAATAGAAAAGGGGGTCCAGGATGGACATCCAGGGATTGGGGGCCCAGCACTCTCCCAGAGTTCTGCACAACACCGGCTCTGGGGCTGGAGGGACGGGTGAGAGCAAAGGGAGCTGGGTCCAGAGCTTTCTGTGCTTTTTCCTCTTTATCCTTCGCAGCCACCCCGAAGGTCCAAATCCCATTTTAGGGGTGAGAAGACTGACTTAGAGAGGTTAAAGAATGTGCCTGAGGTACCCCCAGATCTGGAAGAGTCGGGATTTGAACGCACGTCTGTCTGATTTCAAGGCCCACGCTCTTTCTCGTATTCCACGCTGTACAAAGAAGCCCCCGTGGGTTCACGCTCTGTTGTGAACAGTCTTTCGTTGATTCCACAAGCGTTCAGTAAGCACACAAGCCTTGGGCAGGTCTTCTGCCTTCTTTCACTATCCTGCTACTCTGTTAACAGTTACCCACGTCTACAGTCCTTAGATGTGAGTTAAATATATTCGCTGATCCAATGATTCATTCACCGAATGAATATTTATCAACAGCTTCCTTTGTGTCAGGCACTGTTCTGGGAGCTGGGGACACAGTGAAGATCACACCCAACAAAGATCCCTGCCCTCATGGAGCTTATGTTCGAGGGAATAAATGAATGAATGGGTGAAAGGAAACTACCATGGGAGAATTTTAATCTTGATTCTAAAGCTCACTGGTGGCCCTCAGAGACCAGCCTCACTGAGCTCTCTCAGGGTGTTATCTGGACTTAGACTCTGGCTTCTTCGCCAGCTCTCTCTAGGGATTCACAGAGGTTTCTCCTTACCTTGTTGTACAGCTGATGTCTCCACGGTAGCTTGCTGCTTTTCTATTAGTGCGCACGAGGCAGTATGGCGTGCCTGGTAGCAATCATAACAGACCTTATTCTTCCACTGACCTGTGATTTCTTCAGGACATTTATTTGGCTACTGATGGCATCTTCAACTGGCTTCTTTTAAGGACTCTGAACACCTACACGTACCTCGCCTTCCTATCACCCCATCATGGAATTGTTGACTTCTCTCTTCACAAAACTGAAACTTCCTTGAAGGCAGGGGCTATATCCTGCTCCTTTTTGTA